TCTGAAAGGAAAATCCTTCTTTTTCAGATATTTATAGAAAATCTTAAGGATGCTGTTAGAATGTGTCTTGTGTTATAGATTGAGTTATCGTTTTTTTGTGTACTGACCTGGGAGTAAGAGTAATGACTGAGATAATCTTTCATCTACTTACTACTCAACATAACTTATTCCATGTTTAATTATAATTATACTTCACGGTAAACCTTCTGTAATGTGTGTGTTATTGGTCAAAAAATGATCCTTTCTTAAATATTCTTTTTGTAGTGGGAAGCCGAGATCACTGGCTTCGGTATAATGAACCCTCGACGGGAAGAAATGCTTGGGTTCAACAGCTCCTGTCATTATTCCAAAACAGGATTCAAGCCTTTTACCAGGCTGACTTGGCTGAAAGTGGTAAACCAGGTCATGCACCAGTGTTTAGGGCACCCCCTCATGGTGTACAATCAGGTTACAAGGTAATGATACAGAATTGCCTTTTGAAAGTGGTAAATGGTGTGTTTTCATTCAAATGAATAATATTTTATACATGTTAATTTCTTTCATAAAAAAAGTATGTTAGATTGGTGTTATAATTGAACCAAAGCTGGAGAAGGAATGATTAGTTTTATACTTCATACATGAAAAGGTTTACTAATGATATGGATTATTTACATGTAATATATTTTTATCTAACTATTTTCTTCTCTTGAAAATGATTTTACGTTTGGGTTATCTTAGCAAAGTAGCAGTTCCTCGGCTGAATCCAGATCACATCTGCCCAGCTCTTCTCCGGAAGGAAGCCGGAGTTCTAGTCTCTACCCACTAAGGAAGTCTTCCGCTAGGTGGAGTCTTAAACACATGATGTCATGTTGTGTTATCCTAAGGATTGAGGATTTCTCTGTACATAATATTTCTACATCCTCCAAAAGTCGATCACGCACAACACCAGGAAAGTTTTTAGCTTCGGACAGGACAACTATTCTTTTACCTCCAGACATGAAAGCTGTGCATCTTGAGATGACGTATTATTATTTTCCAGGGGATTTGGATTTCCCAGGTTAGATCGATATTTGTGTTTACATGTATACTTGACCTTTGTTCTTGGCTGTTTGTGAACTAGTTTTGTACGTTTTGTGGATTTGGCCCAGATGTTCTGGTATATGGAATTATAAGGTTTACATCTTGATAGCTTTAAGTACTTATAAAATATAGAAATTACATACCTGCAAGTTATTTAAGCCAAAATGTTTGTGCACTTTGAAATTTAATATTGGAAATCAGTGCCAGTACAGTTCAAAAATTTATTGTATTTTTAACAAGTGTGCCATAGAACAGAACAGGTTATTTTAACATGTGTTAGTCATGTTCAGTTGTATACAGGGTACTGCTGTGCATGTGTTTTTATCCACAAAAGACATGCTTTTCAGTGTCTGTAAAAACATATTAGGCTTAACATATATTCATTAATGCGATTCCAGTTCTAATACTGTATCTATTTAATTGAAGTATACTTTGTCTGGTAATAATTGGGATATGTGTTATAGGTATTTAAGATAACAGGCATGCGAGTTATAGCTGTTGATAAAACCTTGTATATGTGTTGTAGATGTTGTTAAATAACCAGATATATTCCTAGTTTTTGGAATTATTGTTGTTATTGCTAAAATTGAGAGGCTTAGTTTATTCATTATATTTCTACATTACATATAGATATGTTGGTATGTATTTAATGTTATTATGCACATTTTAAGAAACCTGAATTTTGGTTTCCTTAGTAGTAAAATACTATTGAATCATTATAGTGTATTATTCATGGAAAGAGAGATACAGTTAAGAAGAATGACCAGAAATTATTGACTCAGGTTTTTGTTAAGTAATGTATGAAACAGTTAAAATATGTCAACATTCCATCATCATTAACTCACTTCATCAAAACCTAAAAATGCCAGTTTAATGACTGTGTCTAAAAAAAAATATTTGAAGTCTGAAGTTAGAGTTCTGAATAAGGTATAAAACATATAAAAATGAGCCATTAAAGAATAATTAAAATACGTGACAATTCATTTTCATTAAGTTGACAATGCTGGATTAATGCCAGTGAAATGTTGACTTATTTCAAATGTTGACAATGCTGGATTAATGCCAGTGAAATGTTGACTTATTTCAAATGTTGACAATGCTGGATTAATGCCTGCGAAATGTTGACTTATTTCAAATGTTGACAATGCTGGATTAATGCCTGCAAAATGTTGACTTATTTCAACTGTTGACAAATGCTGGATTAATGCCAGTGAAATGTTGACTTATTTCAAATGTTGACAATGCTGGATTAATGCCTGCGAAATGTTGACTTATTTCAAATGTTGACAATGCTGGATTAATGCCTGCGAAATGTTGACTTATTTCAAATGTTGACAATGCTGGATTAATGCCTGCGAAATGTTGACTTATTACAAATGTTGACAATGCTGGATTAATGCCTGCGAAATGTTGACTTATTTCAAATGTTGACAATGCTGGACTAATGCCAATGAAATGTTGACTTATTTCAACTGTTGACAATGTTGGATTAATGCCTGCGAAATGTTGACTTATTTCAACTGTTGACAAATGCTGGATTAATGCCTGCGAAATGTTGACTTATTTCAACTGTTGACAAATGCTGGATTAATGCCAATGAAATGTTGACTTATTTCAACTGTTGACAAATGCTGGATTAATGCCAGTGAAATGTTGACTTATTACAAATGTTGACAATGCTGGATTAATGCCTACGAAATGTTGACTTATTTCAACTGTTGACAAATGCTGGATTAATGTCAGTGAAATGTTGACTTATTTCAACTGTTGACAATGCTGGATTAATGCCTGCGAAATGTTGACTTATTTCAACTGTTGACAAATGCTGGATTAATGCCAATGAAATGTTGACTTATTTCAACTGTTGACAAATGCTGGATTAATGCCAGTGAAATGTTGACAATGCTGGACTAATGCCAGTGAAATGTTGACTTATTTCGACTGTTGACAATGCTGGATTAATGGCAGTGAAATGTTGACTTATTACAACTGTTCTCCATATCACATTTGTAGGTGTTTCATACCTTATTTAGAACTAAAATTTATGGATACCTTCAGAACTTTAGACTTCAAATATTTGTTTAAACACCTGTAATTGTCTAAAAGAAACAATTATCCCATTTTTTAATAAATGAAAAATTTCACCTACTCCAATAAAACATTTTAATTAGAAAAATGCATGATTCCTGTGATAACTTGACTAACTTTATATTTTTATTTTCCAGTTCCAAGTCCTTATGTACACATGCACTTAGGTCCTGTGTATGGTACTTATGATAGCCAAACAGTTTTATGGCTTAATGCTTTTTTTCTCAACATACAGAATTCTATGGTGAGAAATTAGTTATGTTATTAATATATCTTTAAAAATGTTAACATGTTAAATGTGAACAGTTTTAACTGTTATAATTAATTTTATAAAACATCAGATGTTTTCAATGAACAATTCCAACTGTAGATCTTTCATCTGTTTCACAGATGACTGGCTTTACTGGGTTTTTTATTTAACTGAGTAAACCAGTCTAACGTACCTGAGAACCAGAGGGTGTGGCCAGTCATGGAATGCTTTAGACTTCTACATCACAGATTATATTTTTAATATTACTTTTGGTAAAGAAAGAAAGGAAATGTATAATATAATCATCACACGACTCAGTTTTAACTTCATAGTGTATCAAAAACAGAAGTTGATAGGTTTGGAGCTCTTCCACTAAAGCTCGACTTCAATTAGTGCTTATTTTAACATAGAAATATTAAGGGTTTAGTTGAAATTTTTGTGAAGAAGTGAAAATTGACAGAATTTGAATTTGTTTATTGCACAGATAATTAACGAACAAGCCAAAAAATGTTAAATAAAGCATCTTTTTTTGGTCCATTCCCAAAATTTTGTGAGTTATATGATAAAGTTTAACTGAGTTCTAAAAGTTGGATAACTTTCTAATATCTACCCCTCAATGGTTCATTGAGAAGTTTGAGGGCTTATAATGTTCAAAATTGGGTTTTGATACCCATTGTGAGCACAACACAGATAGCACATCTGTAGCTTTTTTGCTTAAAAACAAACTTTCTAATAGATTTTACCAATTTGTAGTTTAAGAAAAAACGTTTTTACTCTGTGTATATTATTGATACCATTCAATAAACTCAGAACTAGGATTAATCCAGGATAAACTTGCATGTATAGTAATGGTGTTTAGATCTTAATATTAAATTCTATGTACATTGTCATTTATAAATAGTTTTGTTTCATTTAGTTGTAAATTATATTGAAGAAATAAAATTGAGTTTCAGTAAAAATGTAAGAAATACATTTTATATTTTAAGAACATTTGCTGAGTCTCACCTAAAATGTGAACTAATATTTATATTTTAAGAACATTTGCTGTGTCTCACCTAAAATATGAACTCATATTTATATTTTAAGAACATTTACTAAGTCTCACCTAAAATGTGAACTCATATTTATATTTTAAGAACATTTACCGTGTCTCACCTAAAATGTGAACTCATATTTATATTTTAAGAACATTTACTAAGTTTCACCTAAAATGTGAACTCATATTTATATCTTAAGAACATTTACTGTATCTCACCTAAAATGTGAACTCATATTTATATTTTAAGAACATATGCTGTGTCTCACCTAAAATGTGAACTCATATTTATATTTTAAGAACATTTACTGAGTCTCACCTAAAACAGAAACTTTTGAAATATTTTAAACAAGTTTGATACGATAATATCTGATTCAAAGAAAACTTTATAAAGTAATTAACAGACTTCTATTGCTATTCATAAGGCAATATGAAAGAATAGTAATAAAAGCTGAAAATTGGTGAAATTATTTTAAACATTTCTTAATGATGTTAACATTCATCTACTGAAATATGTATATATTGTACATCATGTCATGTAAGAAATGGCTCGCCAGTATCCGAAACATGCTGTCAGTAAATTTACAATTGTTTTTTCAGTTTCTGAAAGTAATAATAATAAAGCATATTGTAGTTTATGTTTAAAGTTTATGTTGTTTATGTAGTTTATGTTTATGTTTATGTTTAAAGAAATCATATCATAAAAAAAAAACACATCAGTTTATAATTTTTGTATTATCTATTCACTTATGGGAAACTTTGTTTTCACAGACAGAAAATTATTTTTAAAAAGTCCAAAATCAATTTTAGTAACAAATAATAAATATTTAGTTCTGGGTTATGAAATGTATTGCTTGCTTCACATACAGGAAGTGGTAAGGCCAGTCAGGCCATGGCCTGACCACTTTTAACATGGCATGTATAGCTACAACTTGTGTATTAAAGCTTGCTTCTTTGAATTTGACACATTACATTTCATGTATGCAGTATTTGTAGTTAAAATGACTCAAGATTCAATCTTATAGTGTTAAGTTATTAATACTTTTCTGGAGGGACATGCCCTCAGAATCCCCTAGAAATGACAATGTGGCAATGGCTTGACCAATCCAAAATTGTTTCCTACAGCAATTTATGAATCACTTCTTTTATTTGTGCATGAAAAGGTAATTCTGTAGAACCATTGTATAAATACATTGAATAGGCAGGTAGATTTGGGTTGTACTGAAGGGAAAATAAACTTGATTTTTTTTTTTAAGTATGTATATCTGTATAGGTGTGTGTATCATACAAAGACGAAACTAGATTGATTTTGGAATAAATTTTAATTACCAGTGCATTTTATTGGACATAAAACATGTTAAGTTTAAAAGTACTTTAATATATATAGTTAGGAGACATTACTGCTTGACAAATATAAGAATATATTGCTTCAGAAAGGCTGGACTGTTTTTAAAACACTGGTCGTTTTGAATCAAATCAAACAGAGTTTAATCAGTGGTGAGGTAATTTGATTTCAGATGATTTGTCAAAACATTTATAATGTTTGAACTGTTGAAATTTAATGTGAATGTATTTTTCTGTATATAATTTGAATATGATAAAAAAAGAACATTTTTTTACTACTTATTATCTTAATTGATATGATTTGACATTAAGTTTTAATCTTGGCAAGCTAATTTGTTTTGTACTTTTACTAGGATTGCAGTGTAGTTCAGCCATAATTTTAAACTATTTTATCTCTGTAATATTGCCTGACTGTTTGTACTTACTAACCATAACATTTCGTTTTTAAGGTTCCTGCAGCTCCTCCTCCTCCAGTTGCTTCCCCACCTTCAGTGGATGTACGTTTTGAGGCTCTAATGTCAAAGGTAAGGAATCGGCCTCATCAGTGACGTAGTCAGTTGTGTTTTTCCATCTGAGATAATGTTAACAGTATGTCATTGTATAAAGATATTTACTAACAAATTTTTTTAAATAATATGTTTTGTGTAATCGTCAGTAATATATACTTTTTGTTTCAGATGTAGATATTGTTTTACCGTATAGGCTGATCTGTAAAGATAAATAGATACAAGTGTGAGAAGTGTTTTTGTGCTTGCACTAGAAGTAGACAACTTTTATTACTATGTATTTGATGGCAAAGTGTTAACCCTAGAATAACTGATAGGAATTCATATGGATCTCATCAGCTCAGTTAAACACATTTGTGCACAAATCACATGACTTTTTTTTTGTTACAAGAGTCCTAAAAATATTAGTCACGCAAAAATCCGTAAACAAAAATACCATTAATATTGCAAATAAATCCCAGTAAGTATTTTACATAAAAAAGGAGCAATTTTATCCAGTTATTTACACACTAAGTATACTAACGTGAAAAACATAACTACAATATATGGACTCTGCCAGATAATATTTCTACAAGTTGGTAGTTTGAGATTTAAATCATGATCTTAGCGTATACTTCTATGACTATGGTTCAGGGTAAGGCCTAGCATTTGTGCATTTCATTTAGCAAGGTACATTATATTTCTTATCTATTGTTGCTTTTGTTAACAATATTGGTTGTGCAATTAGCATACTGAATGTTTTTACTTTTTATTTTTATTGTTGTTGTTATACTTTTATTATAAAGATCATTGGCCTTGTTAGCATAGACTTTTGTAGTTAGGACTAACTTAAACCTCCTAAGCTGGCCGAACCTCGTGAGATATTATTGGAATTACAACTCAAAGTATTGTTAACAGTGAGGGTACCCAAGTGATAAAAAAAACATTCTAATCTTTATGAAAAGAAGTATAAGAAGGTTATATTTAATTAGCTGTACCAGTGTTCAGGTTGGTTTTAATTATAGCTTTCTCTGATTGGAAGTTAATATACTTTTCTATTTATTTTACAAGGATTGATTACAGTTCTTATACCTTTGCATTTTTTATCTAAGATATTGAAAAGTAAGTAGTCATCTAGATAGTTTTGTGTTATTGATTTAGAGGCTATGGACACCTATCAGTTTTTAAAGCTGTATTTAACATCCTTGACACTGGTAAATTAAACAGATATCTTTAGTTATTTCCACCTGGTCAACATTAACGAGAAACTGTTATTGTTGACCAAGTTTGACTATCTATCTTTAGATAGTCTTACAGAATGTTTCATAACTAATTTTAAATAAATCATAGAAAAGCTTTTGGTTTCTTATATCACCAGACAGCCACTGATGTTGCCCACCTTTCTTTCACCCTGTTTTTTATCCTCATTACTGGAAGTCATGGTAACATAAGATACCACATGTAGCACATACCTGTATGTTTTCATATTGTCATGGTAACATTAGGTACCACATGTTGCACATGCCTGTACATTTCTATATTGTCATGCTAACATAAGGTACCACATGTAGCACATACCTGCACACTTCCATATTGTCATGCTAACATTAGGTACCACATGTAGCACATGCCTGTACATTTCTATATTGTCATGGTAACATAAGGTACCACATGTAGCACATACCTGTTGTCATGGTAACAAAATTCAGGAGGGCACTAGAGATAGTCTGATTATTATATTTCTTTTTAGCGGTAATTTCACCTTGATAAAACACAGTTCTCTTATGAAAATGTTGAGGTTTAAGTGTTATTTAGAACTAGTTAGGTTAATTATTCACTCTCATTCTTTTTCATGGTGTATGGGGATATGTTTTATGTTTTTATTGAGATAGTAACTGTAGGAATATGTAAAGAAAAGTTTGACTAAATGAAAAAAAAAATGTCCCATTTTATTTGAGTTCAATTTACTTCACTTTCCACTAAAGTATAACACGCAGCAATATGACTAGTATCTTTTATATATATATATATTCACTCATGGTTGCACACTGTTGACTGCCATTAAAATGTACCCTAATTTTCACTAGTGTATCTGTAGCACAAAATATTCTGTATTGTATTAGAGTTAAAACTCGTATAACACACATATTGTAAAAATTGGTTTGGAGAAATGTTCTGATTAGTATTCCAATATATTTATGTATGTTATGTAATTATTAGAATAATTTAAAAACCTTTACAACTGAGATTCATTGGTCTTCTTTTGGACAGTGTAGAATTTACTGAATAAGTGTTATATTTAGGTGATATTTCCTTGTGATCAAAGTTATCCACATCAGCTGGAATGGCCACAAGCTCTTCATCTGCAGGCTTCTCGTATTGTGGCCACAAATCGTAGACTTGGTGACCATGCATCAAAATCGCACCTGAGCCAGTGTCTAGAAACCTTCAGTGAAGGTACATTGTTATATGAAAACAATACCTATCCGTGGAGGATGGGAGATTTCAAGCCAATACCTGAAGGGCTGTTGGAATATGTTATTGGTGAGTTTTGAGTCAATTTTTGATCATGACTTCCTTGGTATGCAGTTTGTATCACTTTGCTCGGGTTGGCCTTACTGGTTAGTGTGCCCAAACTTTGAATTTGTGGGTTAATGGTTCGTAATCCGTTAACCTAAAACCACACGCTTCACTTTGAAGTAGTGATCATCAAATCCCACTATTCAGTCAGTACAAAAGTTGGTAGTGGCTGCTGTTTACTAACTGTAGTCTTTGTATTATGTCAATTCAAAAATAGAGATGACTGTCTGAAAATAGCCATTTGTTTATCATTGCATGACAGTTCTGAATGAACAGACAGGCAAACACTTTTCTGGCTTCTTTTTGATTTGCTCTAGTTTCACTTCAAAAATGTCAATTTAAATGTTAAAAGTTTTGATAATGGAGTGTGTTTTTTTTCCTTTTTTCAAAAATTAAATCAATTAGAAAACATATTTCCATACTTTTTTATCTAAGACAGACTTACTAATGCTTCTCTACGTAAATTTTTATAAGTAGCTCACAATTTCAATTTTTTTTAACTTCAATAATTATGAAATAGTACCTAGAACAGGCTGTAAAGAACAAACTTTTTTTCTGTGTGGTCAATAATATTACATAGAATAACAATGTTCTATTTGATACTTGGAATTATTGATTTATCAGTGTATTATTATTAACTTTTTAATGGAAACCAATAGGGGATTCAAACTTACTTTACTCCTTCTTAAGTTTTATTGGTTTTTACTTAAAGTTTATTAGGTTAGGTGGTAACTGAAATAAAATAGATTTTGTTATTGTGAGAAGGTTACTTTACTATAAAAGTTGAGTTTATTTCATGAATAACCTTGTTTTAACTTTGCTGTAAGAATTTCTTCAATCTGTTCAAACAAATGTGAATGGATAGTTACACCAAAATGTTTTAATTGTTAGTTTAGGATGTCCTTGATCTCTGAAACATGTTTTTCTTTCAAATATATTCAGCTTAATTTCTTATTTAATTAAAAGCATATATCTGTTTATATTTATATAAAGATTATATTTGTGAACATAATTAATTTGTTATTCTTAATATTTCAGGAAAATCCACGCTTTCTGGAAATAGCGAGGAGGGTGCTTCACCAACTCTTAGTAATAAAGGTTTCCTCAACAGTGATGATAAAATAGTTTGGAGTGTCCATCTTGACCCTTTTTGGGCTGATTTTGTTAGTGGAGAAATGGGAAAGAGAAGACCACAGACATTTATTGATGCATTACCTCTTACTATTTGGCTGTATGGCCAACAGAATGGGTCGTCAACAAGAACTTCTTCTCCAGATAATCGTCATGGTAAAGACGTAACTGACAACACGACAGATAAGAAGACGGATCCAAAAAGTCTTGGTGATGCAAAGCCAGAAGTAGAATCAGCAGATGCTAAAACTTACATGGTCCTTCACGTTCATTCCATAGTGAATGTCCAGATGACTCATCATCAGTATATATTTTTACTTCGTGTACTAGATACAATAAGTGAGACAAACACTCAACTGGCTAATGACGTAATCAACATTCTTGGAGAAGAAATGCCTTCGAGCATGTGTATTGCTGCTTTTTGGCCACGTGTAGATCTTTCATTATTGCTTCAGAATATAAAGCAGTATACTGCTACGTCTGGTTCAGATGATCTAGTGTCACTTCTAAAATCTCCCTCTCAGAGTGAAATTCATCTCTTCCCTGCTTCTCAAGAACCCTCGTTAGCAGAAGATGCTAGTAAAAAAGAATACGTGCCAACAAGTAGCTTCAATGAGGTGCCAGTTGTCGTCAATCTGCCAAAGTCTCATAGTGATTCTGTATTAAGTTTCCATTCGTCTAGTACAACACCTCCTTTAACTCCTCCAGCAGATGCTTCGTGCAGTACAATAGAAAATACCAGCGAACCACTTCAAAGAGGAATACAGAGCAGCAGAAAGGCAGTAAAAAAGGGTCTCACTAACATAATGGCAAGCATAGATTCCGTAATGACAAGAGGTTCACCACAGTGGTCAGAACACAATGAAGAAAACAGTTCCGTAGCTGATGATGACACCTTATCTGTAAGGAGTGACTTTTCATCTGATAGTGACCAAATGTTTGTGGTGGGTCTAGACACAGCAGGAAGTGAAGAAGACATAAATGTGTTTCCTACAAAAAGCCATACAAGCGTAGATGTGGAAATTGCTGATGATGCTCAGGAACTGTCAGGAAGCAACAATGATGACAGCTCAAACAGTGAAAAAAAAAATGATATAGTAAGTTAAAGGTGATACATTAATCTTGCTGTCAAAAATTTATTGTCAAATGTTATACAAATTGTACAAGGCATATTTTAAAATTATAGCTCAGTAAATAGTCACCTACCCCCCCCCCCAAAAAAAAGGGAGGGGGTACAAGTTTTGTCC